ACACAAGAGATGTATTCATTCGTATTTGTTGTTCATTTATAAGAGCATTATATCGAATTCTTGATTGCAGTTGGGAAGAAATTCTCAAAGGACTGGTAATTGCTACATCATCCGACTCTAGCAAATGCAGTTATCACCTCCTATACGCTCCAACTCTTCTTATTGATTATCTAGAACTCAAAGAATTTACAGAATTGGTATATAAATTAACAGGAGAAAAATATGGTAAGTTTATTGATAGGGGTTTACCTGGTCGAAATTTCTGTCTTCGCTTAATTGGTTCAGCAAAAAAAGATCACGTGAAGTGCATATTTCAATTCTCACTAGATAATGGATGGAATGATCTCAATGACGCCAGAGTTCAACCACCTACTAGTTCTAGATATGAAATAAGACCCCGTATACTAAGTATAGAAAAAATAAATAATCAGAAAAAAATAATTGTGGGCCACGATGAGTTAAAAAAATATGTGAATCTAGTTTTGCAGAAGTATTCTGACTATCTTGGAAGTTGGGATATTGAAGAAAAAAATTCTCAATATTTTGTATATTTTAACCGAAGAGCATATCTAGAATGTCCAAAATGTAAACACCTACACGACAAGGATCAGCGGTGGTTCGGTCGCGCGCGTTATGATGGAACATTCATTGTGAAATGCTTTCAACAAAATCGTGATGAATCAGGGGAAATTTTCAATAACCCATCTATTGCAGAAAAAATCCAGAAAAAAAATAGAAATAATATTCCACTGCCCAATACACATAAGGTGAAGGGTCCAAAGTTTCCATGGCCTTTCTTAGAAATGCCAGCTTGGGCCAAATGCAAGTCCACTCTCACTGCCACTGAAGTATATGAAGAGCGATATATAAAACAGTTACCTGAAGAGGGAGATGTATACGTGGGGTCTCCTTGGGAAACTGGAAAAACTTATGCCCTTGAACATCTTGAATTACCTGATGCTATAAATTTACTCGCTCTATCTACACGTCATACGTATTCTAGTGCAGTTACTGTAAGGCTTAATCTCAAATCTTACTGCGATATTGAAACTAAAGATATAAATCTCCCGGATTATCAAAGAGTAGTATGTCAGATAGAAAGTTTACATCGCATTATTAATAAATGTAAATGCGAGAAAAAATGTAAATGCCTTCCAATACCATATGACTTATGGCTCGATGAGGCGGTGTCTGTGAATAGCCAAGCCCACACTCGCTTAGCAGGACGTTCACGAGAAAATTTATATAAGTTAATTCACGATGCAAGGCGTATTATTGTTATGGATAATGATTTAACTGATCTCAATATAGAATGGATTAAATCGCTTCGAAATGGCAAGCAATTTTCAGTTATCCATAACACTTACCAACCCCAGAAAGGTAAAACATTCCGCTTAGCTCCTAATAGAGAAACTGTGTTAGCCGAACTTTGGGAATGGGCAAAAGTGATGTCCTCATTACCTTATGAAGAGCGAAAAAGTGCATCACTAATTTGCCATCAGAGAACGGATGTACAAGGTATTGCTCGCGCTCTGATAAGAGATTTTCCAACATTGCGCATCAAAAGATACCATGGTAAATCTGATACAGTAGAAAAGGCTTGTGATTTTAGCAATGTGGAAGAGGCATGGAAGGACGTGGATCTTGTTGCATATACGAGTACATTAAAAATAGGAGTCTCATGTACTAACCCCAAGTTCAAGCGTGCATTTTGTCTTTTCAGAAGTGATATAGAAACAAATGCTGGAACTAATCAGATGCTATTCCGCATGAGATGTATTAAAGAATATACATGCCATATCGAACAAAAAGCATCGAATCTCCCAATTACTGAAGAAGGATTATTCCACTGGTTATTAAAAGCAAAGCAAGAATGTCTTCCTCATGAACTTCAAAATAAAGGAATATTCCCAGATGCGGAGTCTATCATACGAAATAAGGATATTCCATCGGTTCGGTTATGGGTGGCCTACATGTTGGAAAAGTTCCGATCTCGTCGTTTGTTTGGATGGAGAATGGTTGATTTTCTTAAAAAGGCAGGTATGATAGTTTCCATAATAAAAGCCACCCCCAAACCCAAAGAAGATGCCGTATCATTAACTGCAATAGTGAAAGCAAATTCGTCAGTTATTAAAGCAGAGGAAATTTCAGACATCGCTAATGCTGATATTCTCAATCATGAATCAGCCGAGATCTTAGAGAACAAGCCAAAGAAGACTTTGGGGGAAATATATGCTTTAAGCCGATACCATATTGCAGATTGTTATGGGATATCACCTGAATCTCTGACAAAAGAATTTATCACAAATTATGGTAAATATGATGAAATGAAATGGTTTAGAAATCTCCGAAAACTACGAGATGCAGGTACTGATAATGAGACAGCGATTAAAGCAATTACCCGTGAGGATTATAGAAATGATAGGCTCACAACTGTCACCCAAGCTGAAAAGCATCGAATTTGTCTGGAATTACTAAAGACTTGCACACCCATTAAAGACATTGACGATCGAAATAGGTATAAAGTTAATGATGTCAAAACACGCTTAAACTCACCAGAATCGATACAATACCTCCAAAATTTAGTACCAAAAATGGCTCGGGTTTTTGATAATACAGACGCATTTCGTAGTGCCAAAAAATCTGGCTTAAAATCGGATAAAGCAAAACTTGGTTTATTAAATTCAGCACTTTCTGCAATCTATGGGATAAAGTTTAAAACTACTAATAATAAAAATACGCATTACCATCTAGTTGGAGCATTTGACAATGAGGATGCTCCCAAATTACCATCATATCAAACAGGTGAAGGACCCTTTTACGAAAGTGGTGAGGATATCCGATATGGATACAGTAAACTCTCACCTGATGAATTAGAACCACCTCCTAATTAAGGTTGCGGGAGAAACTCCTCCAGAAATCAATCGACAGAGTTTCGACAGGTTACACATTAATTGTTTATTAGAGTTTCGGCAGAGTTTCGCATTTGGGGTTTTCGCCAATCATCAGAGTTTCGACAGGTTACACATTAATTGTTCATTAGAGTTTCGACAGAGTTTCGACAGTCATTAAGAGGTTTCGCCCACAACCTTACTCCTAATTCTATCTCACAAAATACTCAGGACTTATTCGATATCGTTTAAAATATGTATTTAGAGTCCGTGGTATATTTTACAAAGGGGGTTTTTGTGACGCTTAAAATTGATACTTGTAAAAAAAAAAAATCCATTACGAAGACCATTTTTGTGTCGCTTAAAATTGATATCTATAGTTATATAGTGACTACCTTCGGCAAAAGTGAGTATAATTACGCATCAGCTTCTATCCTCTGCGCCTTTTGTCTCTCATACCAATTTCGAAAATAAACCCTCTTCGCATGCTTAGGACAGTATCCTGTCCCGGAATTGTTTCCTTTTCCGCAGATACCACAAGGAATTTTTGCTAAATTTTTTGCCACATTTTTTTCATATAATCTCCAGTGCAACGAACACCCTTCAGGTTGCCAGCAACTTTTTCTGCAAATCGAACCATCTCTTTTAATATATGGACAGATAAAACGTCTCGAACTATCTCTTTTAACGTATTGATCGGTTAAACACTCCATTCAAAGTGTTTTAATGTATAACGTATAAAACCCGTTTCACTTTTTATGTGAATATATTTAATATAAAACTAATTTAAATCCCGCCTTCACATAGTCTATTCGAAGTCAGAAAGTAGATAACATACACTGGAACGTATATATCTTTTTTCTGAGAGATAAAGGAAATCAATTTAAACTTTTCCAAACTATATTGTAATAATATAATCGATTATATATTGATACTATAGACAAAAATGTATACCCAAGAAACAGAATTTAACAAAGAAATGATCACCTCAGATAAGTTATTCAAATTAGCTAGGCGATCGAAAAAACCAAAAATATATAATCCAAAAACTAATCGTATGATTGCAATCAATGGGCCCGCATATAATCAATTGTTACGCGATGAATATATACATTGGAGAGAAGAAAGACTTTTGATTCCGCCATTCAATGAAATGCCAATACTAAGAAAATGTCTATCTTTTGCATCTAATAAAATTTGGAATATTGTTGCAGAAAAAAGTCTTCTTACAAAAATCGATGGGAAATTAACCTTATTAGACATCCTACTCAAAGCAAACTGGAATGAACTCGTTATATGCAATTTGTTAAAATTGTGCTGGAATGGTAGAGAAACTCGGGAATGGAGAAATAATATTCTCATGAATTTCCTCCATCACCCAAATTTAACTCCGTCGAAATATAGGCCAAATGCCTTATATGATGCATTCAGTAAAGCAGATGTTCTAGGTCCAGAACATATACTTGCTATAGCGAGAACACTACAATAAAAAATAGGGTCTTTGACCATTACAAGGTAATAAAAATGAATCGTGAACGTTAATATAGCCTGAGTCGCCACAACTCGAAGCTATAATTTTTTTTTCGTTATATACCATGTATTGGTAAATTTCAAATCGACAGACTGACCCAAGGCATTAACGTGAATCATGTGTTTGGCATATATTAATTATTTTTTCCAGAACCTCTTTAAGTAAAGCTATATCCTCTTTGATGTCTTCTATATTTTTGGTGATTTTATTATGTAAAGCTATGGATTCTAAAACTTTCGATCTATTCCGTGCCTTATTCATATCTATTTCTCGATAGAATTACATTAATCGCCACCCATTCAATTTTTGGTATAGCTACACTAATTCACGGATAATTAATTTCGATTTGAAAAAAGAATCCTATAGTATATATCAGACGAAATTAGTCTATATAAAACATCTCAATCATATCAACTGACATATACTAACCATGGCAAAAATCGCTACATCATTTGTAAGTTGCTACAAATTGACTCCTCAAACTAGTTTACCCCAGCTTAGTAGTTATACCGAAGAGTTGGCTAATAAACTTTCAGATGGTAAGACAAAAGAGCAGGCCCGAAAAGCCAGAGATCAGGCTAAAAGACGCTTCCAAGAGTTGGGATTGAGTAAGGAGCAAGCTGATACTCTTATTCCTATTTGAGCTCCTGGGAGACATGTTGATGAAAGAGATCCCATTAAAATTATCGCCCAAGATATTATAAAAAATAATCTCTCACCTGAAGAAATAAATGAAATAGCATACGACTTGGCTTCTTCTGCTCCTACTACTGTTGCTGGAAATTCTCGTCTTAATTTATTACGGAAAAAATTGCGTAGCTTAGGAGCTGATTATCTCATTACTGAGGCAACGAAAGTACCCTTTATTACTGAAGAAGCAAACCAGATTCAAGCAAGAAAATGTATACTTCGCGGAATTAATGGTTACGATTGTCCCGAGTTCTTTTACCTGGAAAAGGTTCAGGAAAGACTTAACGAATGTAATATTACCAAGCCTCCTTCAATGCAAAATCTAATAGACGTAATGATAATGCTATGTATGCGATCGGCAGATGTGAAAAATCTTCGTATCAATCGATACAAACCAAGTCGTGAGACATGGTATAATCCTGACTATTCTTGGTACTGTATTGGTTATGCAAAAAATAAAGGTGAAGTAGAAGAACCCCGACCATTTCTCTCAATGAAAAAAAATCCAATACGAGCAAGAGAATTACTTATCTGGATTCAGAGATCAATACCAGACAAATTTCCCTTCTTGCTAAAGGATAAGGATGGAAATACTAATGTTGTACCACTTAATCAATTCTTAAGTCAGCATAAAATTACCTCATTTATATTAAGAAAAATAGGAGCTGATCATGCTTCCAGAGTACATGGAGGTAAGAATGATACTGGCCGTCAACATTTACGACAATTGGCATGTAGGCATAAAATAGGTCATGCTTCATCAGTTGAACATTATGGTGTAATGAATGACAGACCAATTATTCCAGCACCTAAGCCAATCGTCCCTATGATTAAACAAGAATATGATGAAATTGAGGATATCTATGACTTATATGGGAATATCTAGGCTCAAAGAGTCATTGCTCTGCAATAGATTAGTGATATAATTAGTTATTAATTATCAGTTTTGATAGCATCTTCACTTTGAGAGTCACTATCGAATAAACCATAAGTTTCAATTTTTTTTATACAATGTAATATACAATGTCCAGCTTCTTCATCAATACAACAATGATTTCTACAACAACCTAGTTTATTTAGTATATGTTTTTCACAATAACTTCCTAAATTAGGATCATGAAATAATTTATTACATTTCCGACATTTATCAAAGTAATCTAGAAATTTACTTTTATTAAGTTTTTTTACTATTTTTTTTATATAACAAAATTCGCTTGTTTTTTCATAATCTCTAGGTATATCATAATCCGAGGAATCAGAGATTCGAGGCTTTGTCCCATCAAGGTACTTCACTGAAAAATTAATTCCAGCATCTTTCATTGCTTTAAAATCAAAAATTTGATCCATATCGTATTTGTGAAAACTTGAGAATTCTATATAATAATAATAATAATAATAAAATTAATTGTGCAAATATCAAAATCTTATGAGGATTCATTCATATGTTTACTAATCACGCTTCATTACTTTTACTACATCCACAGTAAAATCATCATCATCATTAGACGATTCAGACCCAGATGAGGATGAGGACTCAGATGCGGTATCATTTAAAATTATCTTTTTTCTTTTAGCCTTACATGGTGTACGGTTTCTTTGAGAAATATCCGGGTTTGCTATCGAGTTTATAATTTCTAACCCAATCTCGGGTTTCACTATTTCCAGTAATTGGTGAAGAGAAATCGAAATTCTTCTATGTGATATCTGTTTAACAATTTTAGATACTAGTTTCGAGGTATTATTGCCGGAGGCAACTGTTTCACAGCTATTTTTAACCATTGGATTTAAATTGATTTATTATTAATACGAGTAAAAATATATTATTAAATATATAATTATAATAAAGCATCACAATGATAACTTTATCCTGCAAAATAAATAAAGTACCATTTACATCCATATTAGATTCTGGTGCTAATCGTGATATTATAGAAAAATTTATCAATGATTTGTCACCGGAGAATCAAATAAATGCGATCCGATTTGGGATTAAGGAGCCTATAAATAATATAATTGAGCATTTAAAATTTATCTCAACCGGGCCTACCAATATTCAAAAATTCCGATTTGGGGAATTGGAGCAAGGAAATGATTCAGTAATGGAGTATTTTGCAAAAGTAAAAAAATGTAATGACTCGCTTGGATATGATGAAGAACATCTTAAACATCAATTCCTTCGTGGATTAAATTCTGATAACCAGATGGAAGCCAGAATATGCGGAACAGACCTATCATTAGATGAGCTGGTTGCAAAGTTAAGTGTGGTTGAGAATATCAGAAAAAATAAAATGGTATATGCGTCTAAATTACTTATCTGAACATTTAGTTATTTTTTGATTAAAGATAGATAATATTTAACTTAAGAATGACGCAACCAAATATTTTTGATTTACCAGAATTGCTAGAACAGATCTTATATTATTTGGAAATTGATCGATTCCTCTATTCTGCTTTATTTGTTAACCGTCTTTGGTATCACTGCGGTGTGCCATTACTATGGAGAAGAATTGAGTTAAAAGGTAATGATATCCATTATGGGCATTATTTTCCAGATGAATATAAATATTGTGAACGATATCGAATACGGTTAGAAAATTTCGTAAAAATAATATGCGGGGAGAAAAAACCAATTTATGCCTCAAACTTGAAAAACTTAAGAATTTCATATTGTCATTCAATTACACACAAATTAATTAGATCTATCATAAATTACTGCCCAAATATAATTTATTTAGACTTTAAAAATAGCGTGGGTATTAGTGATGAGACATTAATTAAAATAACTTCTTCATACCCGAATTTAAAACACCTTAATTTATGGGATAATCAAATGATATCTGATAAAGGGTTATGTGAGATTGCGCAAACATGCAATAAATTAGAATATCTAAATATTTCTTACTGTAGAAGTATTACCGATAAATCATTAATGACAATTGCTGAATCATGTCGTAATTTGCAAGAATTTTACTTCAGTGAAGCATATTGGATTACTGATAGATCAATAAGTCAGATTATAAACCTATGCCCTAATTTGCGATCTCTTGATATTGCATTTAGCCGTGGAAAAATCAAGGATGCTAATATGTTAATGCAAAAAAATCTCAAAATAGAATATCTCGATTTCGCCGGGGTTATGGCTTTTCGAAACGATTCTTTTATTGTAGCTATTATCAGGTCTTCTCCAAATTTAAAACATTTTGATATTTCTGGCAACGATATCGGAGATGAGGTTGTTGAAGCACTAGCCCACACATGCCACGAATTAGAATATCTTGATCTTGGAGGGTGTGGATTCATTACCGAACCATCGATATGCAATGTTATTCGCTCTTGTCCTAAACTTCAGCATCTTGAACTTAGATTTTGTGACATTTCCAATACAACCATTGAAGAAATAACCCGTTCGTGTCCCAATTTAAAATATCTTGATTTGGATAGTTGTGAAAAAAATGTTAGTAAAAAAGTTGTAAAACGACTTAATCCAAATATAAATATCGAAAATTACGATTCATCGTATGAGCAGTCTGATTCCGAATCTGATTCCGATACTTCTGACCCCGATGATGATAATGAACAGAATCTAGAAGAACTACCTTCACCTATTCCAATCTTTGCAGGTTCATCATTAGATAGAACAAATCTTATTTCTGCGCTCAGTAATTATATCAGAGAGATTGGCGGGATTAATCCTAATCATTCAGCATGGTTTACAAATAATTTTATTTAGTAGCGGAGAATGGGTAATTAGGCGTTTATCAACCTCCAGATAATTATTGGTAATTTTTCATATACAGTTTTCTGATCTATACGAACTATCAGCATATTAGGGGGAGAAATCATTTTTACGTAATCTTTGATGGAACTCGCTTCGTGGTGTTTGGAATTTCATGTGTGAGGATAAGGATTCTCTACCTCTATATTTTATATCGCGTGGGGCAAACTCAGTAATAGCATTAGGAATTAATTGGATTATTTTTTCAGATATTTCTATGTACGGCTTTATTAATGGAATATATGTCGAGTAATATCCGAATGATAAAAAATGCGTAACTCTTTACTGATTGAGGTTATGTAAATTCACGATTATCCCATTCTAAGATAATGTAGAATTTTTTAGAATATGTGATGTAATTAGGTACAAAAAAAACGTCATTACTCTATAATAGTTTTGTCTTCAAGAACTTCTTACCCGCAAGGTCATCAGCGAATGGACAAATTCTTCTACCTCTTCAACCGACTCATCATGAAAAGGGATTTTTGCTTTGATGATAGGCATGTAATATTTTATACTTTCTTCTTGTATTAATCCACTAAGTATGAAATTGCTACCTACATTTATTGAAAAATTAACGATTGAATAGAAAGCAAGTATATTTAGCAATACAATAATCATTACAATTACCTGCAATATTAATACCAAATGCAATATAAACCTTTCGTAATCTTTTCCCCTTTACGATCTCGTTATATCCATGTGAGCAGAGTCTCGCAAGCTTATTATGATCATCACGGATTTTCTGGTCAGTAGACGCCCACTTCCCACTCTCAATATATACAATCTCATTCTGTTTCCGTTTCAAAGATGCTCGTATCATAAGATCTGGTCTATCTCCTCTTGAACTAATTTCCTCTAATACCTTTTGGTTCTTACTAGCAATACTCTGTCGCTCGCCTCTAATTACCTCAACGTCATATTCGATTGGTACTGATACAAAGAGGCTTCGATTAAATGGGCCATAGTTTCGACAAGAGAATTTTCTGACCCATCTGAAACTCGACGAAGAACATTTGATCTTATTTTCAGCAAGAGAAGATCTGTTATATTTTTTCCCACTTGGTCTCTTTCGTAGTCCTGCTCAACCCAACGGCCATGAGTCACTTTTTCGGATGGCATTATCATAAACCTGTAACGCTGTTGGATTTCATTTCTTTTAACAACAAAATTAGTACACAATTTTCTTATTGAAGCTTCTTTGTTTAGCCCCCTTATAGAGGCTCTTTCACCCTAGTCACGTAATATTGAAATTCTTTAATAGTGTATGGATCCCACACAAAAAGTTATTGCGTAATATAAAATACATACCACAAGAAGGCTTTGTTCCTCTCTTTCTAGTGAAAATTGGGAAGATCCAAGATCGATTATATTGTTAACCAATGGATCATTCCACGATAAATCATTGACATTCACAGCACATAATCCCTCATATAAACGTAAATGAGCAGGGGATTTATCTCTCTGACCTTCTAAAATGCCCTTCATACTGCCGATATTGCACGTAGCCTGACTTCTCCAATCCGGTTTTTCACGTTTAGGCCTATATTATTTTAAAGTATTAGTCTGTTTCATCTAATTTATCCTTTAACTTCTACAAATTAACCTACTGGAATAGATCAGTATCCATCATCAATGGATTAAGCTCCTTCCACACAAATCGTATCTAGTGTTAGAGAGAAAAAAATTAGCTTGGTTTGAAAAACAATTAGAATTTATACCAGATCATGTTGATCAGAATTGATATGGCTGGCCATGCGATATCACCACTTATTTTGCTAATCATAATTATTAATAGTGCAATGTTGCAGATTATCGTCGGTAACTCATCGCGTCGAATGCGGAATACCACTTACTCAACACCATTACACTATTAGAATCATTTCCCAAAATATAATATCATCATATCTACATTAAATTACATTTATCTTAAAACAGTAATAAATTAATACCTTCTCTATGTCTAGCAATGTCAAGAGGTGTTGATTGCGACTCTCATCAGTACTTTCCTCTGCCAACTCTCTCAACTTCCATAACTCGCCCACAATCTACTTCTTCTGTATTCACTCCGCAATCTTTCCAATATTTATGCAACACCCTGGAAATTGTGATTTGATCAAGAGGTTCATTTTTTAAAAACTCGCGAAGGGTAGTAAATTCGACTGATAAAACAGATGTAGACATGTTTAGTAATTTGTCACTAAAAAAATAGTGTTAGTATTAGTGATTATAATAATCGAAAAATATTTCGTGGGTGTTCATAAATTTATTATACTGTCCTTTTAAGCGTTTTCGTTTATCTCTTTCTAAATCTTCTTTTGGATCTATAGAATGGGTATAATAAAGTGGAAGAAAGTAGTATTTACGCCAAAAAAAAAAACATTAAAAGAAAAAGTATGTACATGAGGTAATTAATCGAATTTGGTAAATCGTACAAATAAATCATGCAGGGTCAGGTGGTTGCACATATCGAAATTCTGAAAACCTAAAAATAATTTTTATTGCCACATAAATTGACGTTTGATATAATGATTATCTGATTGATTATGCGGATATTTTTTACCATGTACTTTTTCTGATGTATTGCTATTAGAATTATTCTTGGAATTTTTCAGCGAACATTGTTCTGTGAAATTTTGCAGATCACTTGTTAGATTAACGAAGAATTGAATACTATTAATAAAATTATAATAAAACAATGACGAATACACAATACACAATCGAATCATTAAGAGAATTGAATTCCAGGCTTGTTCTTCAGATCGATGAAATCAGAAAGAAGTTCACAGAGATTGAAACCGAGAATAACGAAATTAAAAAGAAATATGTAGAGGTTGAAGCCGAGAATACGGATCTAAAAGAAATAATAAAAGAAAATGCCAGGCGTGAAGCTGAGAGTATGAAACTCAAAGCTAGAGTTGAGGAACTAGAACGGTATAAAAAAGAAAATGAAAAGCGATTTGAGAAATTGGAAGAGAAGCAATTAAAAAATGTTAATAATTTTGAGAATATTGCTAATGTATCCGATTCAGTTATAAACCACTGTATTGATACTGATACCAAATCATTAGATGATGATACTTCTGAACTGATAGATGAACGATGTGATGATACCCCCGCATCTGATATATTTGATAACACTTCAAATTGTGATTTACGTCATGAGTCTTTAACTCAATGTTCTGCACCATCTAACTGCACAGAGTCTGAATCGTTAAAAGATAAGGAAATGAATAATATAATTGATTTTCTGGTTGAAAGAGATAATGAACGGATTCGTAACGAAATAAGAGAGCGAAATAGGGGGGGGAAGCTTCAACGTGAGGCACCTACTGGAAATTTTCCAAAAGAGGACACTTACGCATCTAATATTAAATCTAGTGTTCCTTCCGATCAGAAAAAAGAGCAAGGTTTAATACAAGAGATATCTATTAAAGATCAGAATAATATAACTGAAATTTCATCAAACAATATTCCTCAAAATCATGTGCCCGAAATAGATTATTCTACTTCAGATAAAGACATAATCTGTTTATATCAAAATGCATGCGATGCAGAAAAAGATGCTATAAAAGCTAATCGAGAAGAAATATTATGTTGGTGTTTCTATGCTAAAAAGTCTAAAGGTATGGTCAAAGATTTTATGGCTAATGGAAAAGTCGGGGAGAAAAAAGCAAAAGGTCAAGTATATGATTTTATTATCCAACAACTTCCTAATACAAAGCGTGAAAACTTATGCAAACAAACACAAAAAGCTTTAAGAGTTTATAATTTATTCGAAAAAATAGGAATGGATAAAATTCAATATATCAAAACTTATACTGCAGATAGTATTTCAAGATTTACTAATCTACAGATTCAAACAATTATTGATCATTTCGCTAAAAAGCCTGACATAGAATTCACCGATAATCAGGACAATTCTTCAGATGACTTACCCGGAGAAGCAAAGCTTCGAGTTTCCAACTCAACTGAGGTGAGTAATACATCTATTCTATCTAATTCTGAAACAATTCCGGTATCAACAGAGATACAAGCAAGCGTATTCGATGATTCTTCAGATTCTAACTTAAACCCCCTTGAGAGTAATGAGGATAATGAAAATGATGATGAATATGATGATAACGATGGTGAGGATGAAGACGATGATGATAATGAGGAATCTTCTGATGATGATGACGATGAAGATGCTGGATATTACTACGATTTAAATAGCGGTAAAACTTATAAAAAACAGATCGTTTAATCACCACATATAACATTGGTATAGAACTGGATAAATTCATTTAATCAAACGAAAAAACGAAAATCATAGTATGCATGCATATAGTCAGGTGGTTGTATGCATTGAAATTTTGAATAATTTTCGTTCCACAGCCCATTGATGTCGTGTGACATATTAATTAAATTATCTGATCGATTATAGAGTATCAAAAAATTTGAATTTCTTCCTCCTTTATTCTGTCGGTCTTAGTTGAAAAGTATAGAATATCACGTAGTTGTATTTAGAGCAATTTATGCTCCGTGAAGCGTGAAATATAGCAACTTGCAACTATGATAAATAATTAGTATTGACATACACAATAAAACTTTTATTTTTTCGATACATCTAGACTCATTATGAATCATGCATTACTAATCCTATGCAATACGTGGAGCGTAGAATCTTTGACTCATATTTACAATACAAAAATCGGGATATATAATTGATGAGTAATATATAGATCTATCGCAGTAGATAAGATTACCCGAAATACAAAGGCGATGTTCGGATTATGAAGAGGTGTGTGGATATCTAAAGGCGAATAACATTAAATCGCTCTCTGAATTGACTTGTTATGTTTTCAGCGTGAGCTGGCACGTTCGCGCCAAAGAGAAATATGTAGCAATTAATTTTCGTATTTTTTTTCAAATGCAAAGATTTTTAATTCTATGAAAATTTCGGGAAAACTGACCTCGAGGTCACAGGAGGCTTAAACAACGAAATTTTAAGCGATATAAATATTAATATGCTTTACTTTATTACCCACATATTCAATGTCATCCCAGCTTACCTTTGAAATAGCTAAGACAGAAAAAGTTTTATCTTTTCTACACCAACTTCGGTAAAAAATTCATATACTTTTAGTGCTCTTTTCTAAGAACACCATCCGTTATCTTCATAGGAAGATTTCTTCCTTGACTAGACGTTGAGCCACAGGTATCCATTTCTTTTTTTCTCGTATATAATAATCGTGACATTCTGATACAGCTTTACCGAAATCATAATAGCTTTTAATTACTTTTTGATTCGTTGTTGCATTCTCAGATTCAGCATGATCAATCATACTATACAAATGCAAAAAAATTACTAGTATTTATCCTGCTTCTGCCCTCATAAAAATAAGTCCTTTTACAATGCAAGGTATCGATTAGAGAAAATTTTGATGCCGTTATGACGAAGTGAGGAACAGTCACTGAAAGATGACTTATGATATTGACTGGCATAAATGGTTCGAATTATGGACTCTGCTAGAAAAAAGGTATTAATACGTAATTGTGGAATTATAACAATAAAGATCAAAGAATGCATTCTCTCGTGCTATCATTGATTAGCCCTCCACATTGATCAGTAATGAAAATTGAGATCCCCGAATTTTTTAGCTGAAAGGCAAATTCCATTAACAGATCAATGAATTATCATAAGAATGACCCACAATCCCACCACATGTGAAAAAATTGACTTGGTAATGTAAAAGCAAAATAAAAAATCTTTATTAAAGCGCGAGTCTATTAGTAAAATAAACATTAAGAAAATTTGAATAAAGAGAATGGTCTGTGAAGAATGCTATTGCTCTGAACCATCTACCACGAATATGACGCAAAAGAATATTTACTGCAGGTCGCAATTTTGTCATTCCTGCTCCATACTTTCTAACTCTGCCTCTCACATTTAATCCAATAACATTATTCAACAGACCTGAATTACTCAGATTATTCAGCATTTGTTCCGTGTTTCTCGATTGAATCGGAAACATGGTTGGATCCAGCAACTTTATTACAATGTTGACGTTTCTTACTTCCGGTGGTTGTGGCTCTTTTGGTGGAAGTTCTAGAATGGCTCTTTGTCCTGGCCTTTTGATTAGCCTTCCCGGAATCTCTGTAAAAAGTTTCTCCATGAGGATGTTCTCCTCCTCTGGTAGCATCATTTCGTCCGTCTCCTTAAAAAATCAATAAATTCGGCTTTATTGAACAAACATATACATGAAATAGAACATGAATCAAGTAGACTTACCATCTGATCTTGAGTCAGCAACTCCATTTTGATTCATAAACATTAAAATTTCTTCGTGTTCTTCGTATGGTTCTCCCTCCGCAATCCACTTATTTACTTCAGTCCAATTAATAGAAGCTCTCGACTCCTCAATAAGTTTTTTTAATTTTTCTTCTAATACCTCGGACATAATTGGAGGGTTTTATGATTAATAATATTAGAAAAAAGTGATGTAAAATTCAAGGGGATTTGGTTTTATTGGTTGTAAAATGTGACAAAAACGAATATGGGATTTGGACTAGGAAATCAGACAAAAAAAACTATTTTCAGTAAAACAACCCTTATAAATTTGGTTACACGTATGTTATGGTTAGGTTGTCGTACGCATTAAATTATTTAAATCTCGCAGACATAGTGATTATCTGATTGATTATGCAGAGGGATTATCAAGGCACATAAGTGTCATTGCTTTGCAATAAATTTAATTCCTTCTTTAAATCAATTCACGCTGAAATATATATACGACATAAATAATAGTGATTCTTCTTTTATGGTGATGCGAATACAATTAAAAGGGTGGACATATACTAGCAATTACGTTTAATCAAGAAGGAATATAATAGCAGAGCTAGTGACAAAGACACATTTTTTTATTATTTTTCTAAATCGTCGCTAACATTATTTCTTGGAGTATTAATCCGCAACACTCATACTATCACTATTCCCTGTAGCGTTAATTTCATTGTCTGGATTATTTTCATTTACCTGCTGAGCATTTGTAGCATCCGCATAAGATGGAGGTTGAAGATCGGGTGCATTTGTATTAGATGTATTACGCTGTGGTGGAGATGCCGATCGTCTTCGTCTTCAACTTCTATTATCGGTAGACGTTCTTCGACTTCGACTTCTATTATCGGTAGATGTTCTTCGGTTTCTATTATTAGGAGATGTTTGATTCGAAATATTTCTGCTACGGATTCTATCGAACTCATCGTCAACTCTTTCCCAGAAATGCGTTTGAAATTCATTATAATATAGTGTACCATTCCGGGTTCTTCGTCCTTTTTCAGCACCATCCAGAAAATCACACATTAGCTGATCACATAGAGGTATATGGTAGGTAAGTGACATTGCAGGCCCGAAGGGGCGACCCTAAAGGGTCATAAATTTCATGATCAGAAAATTTTAGCCGGGTTTAGCCAAAAAATATGCAATAACTTACATTATAATCACGAATGAGGTTTGTGAATTTCTTTTTACACTGGTAACCATCAAAGTGGGTATTATGTTCTTCATTTATTTTAATCGCGATGCTTTCCCAAAAGGGAAGACGATCTCTTCCAAGGTTATGATACTCCACGTTTCTATTTTTACGTTCATTGATTAGGATACGAGTTTGAGCATCAGTCCAATCAATCATTTTTTATAATATCTTCCAGAGAACGTACACGAAGTATATTGGATAATGTGGATAGAAACGATTTTACACTATATATATATATTATACGCTTAGATTCATAAGGTTAGAATTTTCGATTCATATGAATTAAACTTTGCTTATGATACAAGGTTAGATCCGTAATTAAAATTTGAGAAAAAAAAAATACACATTCATATATTTTAATACTCCAACTATACTTTAAGTGAACATTAAGTATACTTCAACTGCGGATTTACTATGAAATATTATAATAAATTATTTTTCAACCAAACTCCTATTGAACTTCAAGTGGATACTTAACTGAACTTCAACTATACTCCACCTGATAACATTTAGACGAGTTTACAATTCCAGTATTTTGGATGTATGAAATTAATTTATGTGTCGGAGACACTAGCTCCGCTATTATCTATGGGCAATCTCGGAATATGAATCATAGTAATATATAAGGTACATTCCACAATATATTACTCAAAGTTTGTAGCACAAAGTACTAAAAATTTATGTGTCAGAGACACTAGCTCCGCTATTACTTTTTCAAACGAAGGGTCATTCTTTTCCCGATGATTGATTTTATGCATAGTAATAAGGGGTGTTTTCATTTGGGATCGTCATTACGAGATATGCAAATCAGGAGTTATCATAAGAGACTAAGCTAATTCATCACTGTTTTGTGAAATTAATGCCAACCTTTGCTTTTCAGCTGAAATCATCTACGATTACTTGTAAATTCCGAGCCGAAGTAATTAATTTATGAATGAACCGATCGCTAAATCCGAAATTAGTTTTATTAGTTGGGAGAAGTGTAGTATATAAAAATGAGTTAAGTATACGGAAATTTTGTTATATAAACTTTATTTGGTTTTATGTCTCTATCTAACCTTCGATCCTTTGCATATAACATTCTAAAAAAACTTGGTGATGTAGTCGTCAAAGATAGACATTTTGTTGAAATAGGGTCATGTGGAGAATGTGGAAATGAAATCCTTGGACTTGTTTATGAGCCATTCACAATCCTCGCCTGTGGACATATCTACCATAGAAAATGTATCGAGAAAAATTTTCTATCGAACATATGTCCCACTTCTGATTGCAATAAATCTGTCGATCCTGTGGCCACCGAACGAAGATTTTCTCAATCGTCTCAGTCAAGCACTTCATCAATAGTTAGGAGAATGAGTAATCAACTTCAGCTCAATTCACCTGTAATCGGAGAAGAAGATGAGGAAATGAGGGATGTCGAGGTTAAAGGTGAGCCCAGGAATTGTTCCAAGTGTTCTGAAGTAATCTCCCTGGAAATTTTGGAGCCGGTCATATTATTGCCATGTAACCATGTTGTGCATTTCGAATGTATTGACAATAAGCGTAAGCTATGTCCCGAATGCCCATCTATTGACGATCTGGAAAAAGAAGGATATTATATCTTGCCTACTGTTTTAGTCGACGAAACACCCAAGAAAAAAAGGAAGATGCAAGAAGGGATACTCGTAAAAGTAGACCTAAAAGGGCCACAAAACCAAAAGCAATCATTCAAGAGTTATCCGTTGTCTCAACCAGCAGTGGACCATCAATCAGCGCTCCTTCTGAAACCACCAATATTGGTGAAATATCTAATCAATTCCATAAATTATACTACGACGTTGATATTGCTGAAAAGAAAGGTGATCAAGAGAACCGGGATGTAATTCAATGCTACTTCCGGTTTGGGAGAGCTCTATCAGAACGACTTGCTGTATTGTTAATGAATAACCCCCCACAGACAGCGCGTACAAAGTTAAATAAAGAAGTTAAGGAAAAGCTTCCGAAAAAAAACAGAACAGATACGGCTAGAAAAATTTATGACGTATTTAATAAGATCGGAGAAGATATTATAAAAAATTTCCCTTTGAATGTGTAATTCTCCGATAGTTTAACGTTACCAAACCAATAAATTGATCTACTGCGCTACATCACGTGATATGTCGTGTGATACTGTTCCGGCTCGGAACACCCTTATTATTATATGTGACACAGTTATTGGTTTTCTTGGCATTTTTCCAAAAGTAGGTTTGAAAACTAGCGCTAGTACTACAGTTCACCACTTTTTGTATTAACAGTTTCTATTCCCAGTTTATACGCGTGGTCCTGGCTAGACAACTTAAATCAAGAAAAATGGACGAGAAAGCTGATAAGAGAGTTCATAGAACCTTTCAGGTATTTTTAATCTTGCACTATTTCGAAATGGTAGGTATAGCTAGTGAAACATTTTTATGTAGGAATCCAAGACAGGGGAACCCAATATATGTTCCGTTTGGTGTCGAGGGGAAGATGGTAAAACCACCACATTGTCGACCAATTCCAATAATAACCATATGGGACGCGGTAGCCCTTCTTTGGACAATCTACATCATGAAAATGAAGGATTTCGAGGAAATGGAACTTCAAAACCAGAAAAAATATCTTTCCAGAATGCTAATTATCTTGGCCGACAAAATCACAATGATGAATACGGAAAGGTTGCATTGCCCAACAGCAGTAAATATAACGATTTCAGCGGAAAAGGTGAAGATTGTAAAATTTATGTTCGGGGCGTCAGTCCGCACGTCACAAAAGATCAACAAATCAGTAGCACTGTCGAGGGTAGAATCTATACCAATCCTACAATTGCGCCATTCGAATGTTGTCCAAACATGCAGACGATCCAATCTTCGCTATTTTCCTTTGGGCAACTGCGCCGAATTGGTACCTTGGCGGGCCATGCATGGACGAAAGAAGAACCGAAAACACCGTGTCGTTTTGTGGTCCCAAACATTCAATCTATTGAAGAAAGAATTTCGGAAACCATGTCTCCAGTGCCGAAGGGTGAAGAGCAGGATGAACCTCGAGAAGGTCGCAATAATCCGAAGTCTCCACTTATGATAGTCGAAATGATCGCAAATAAATCAGATCGTAAACGCGTTGCAAATTCTCTTAACTGTAAACTCGAACCCGGAGATTTTTCTGGTTGTATTTGTTATATGGAACAAGTTAAAGAGTATTATGGTTTTGATCATATAATCATCATCGGAGAACTTCATGCTGGAATTCTTTTTTTGGACTGTTACGGTCGTGTGTTCATATGGGACTCAATGTGTTATATTTTATGGATGCTTGGGGATTATTGGAACGAGGCAACAAAGACTAGCCAACCAAAGTGGGGTTTAGAGGTTGATTGGACTGTTGTCAGATTTGAAGAATTTATGAATGGTATGTGGAGATTTTGTTCATTCCTTTTTTTATCTTAATTCTTATAATTAGTTTCTTTCTCCTAGATTCACCAAATGAACTAACCTTTAACAATCCTATTCATCCTGTTGCAAAGAAGAAAAAGAATTTGAAAAAAAAGAACTCGAAAAAGAAACAATATTGATCTGATTTCTATGTTGTATTATTCTCAATTTCGATTTATGTTTGCTATTAATATTACTCGCGTAAACAAATAATTAGTGGTCACAAATATACATAGCATAAGACTTTACTATATTTTCTGTAATTTGCAGGCATAAATAATAAAGCAGATGGTTAGATAGCAAAGAAAATACTAGCATTGATGAAAAGATCGCCACATCTCAAGCAAGTATACCATCCCCATTCCAGATAAATGCATCTAACAAAATCCGACCTCCAGTCTCTATTTTACCCAATGATCCAGAAGAGAAGCAAAAATCCATTATTAACAAAGTGCTAGAGCAGTTTCCTTATTTATCTTTTAATTACAGTAATAAGTGTGGCAATTACTTTACTTGTTCAAAGATATGTAATAAAGATCACAAGAAAGAAGATGTAAAAGGCGAATGGGGTAGTGGCGATTATGTCAATACAAATACTTATCGTATCAATGGTTATAAGAATTATCAAAATTCAATCCAAATAGTAACAGTGAAAGCATAGACTACTGATTTCGAATATTTATGTCATTGACCAACTTAACTCGATATTCATTATATAATTTGATAGTATAACTTTTTCTGATAATCATTACGCGTTATTTATCGGACACATGACACCAGAAGATTAAATCACAAGGTTTGTAGTGCACCCAAAATAGATCTCTCATACCGAAATAGATCTTACATACCAAAAATAGATCCCACATGTCCGAAATAGATTTCAATGAGTAATTAGATAATATATATACGAGTGATTTATACATAAATATCGCCACAAATAGATTCTTTAGAATCAACTCTAATCGCTACAACCCAATATGGATCTCTCCCATTCATCGTATACATCACTTGCAAAATATGACGATTATAGCACTATTGAAGAGATGGTTGGAGAATCCAATCTGGACTAAAATTGAATCGTATTATTCTAGAGTATAAAGTTATTAAATCTAATAGGTCTAAATCCTTAAATTCGACATAATCACATAATCTCGAAAAACACTATAAATAGTTTGTATAAAATGACTAGCTTAAGTGAAAGACGTGGAACCAATTGTACCGATGCTGAATGGGATGAAATTCTGGAGATGGGTATTGTTTTATCGAATGAGACTCCTACCGAATGGATGAATCGAATTTGGCCTCGCTTACAATATTTCAGAGAAAATAATCTTATACCTTATAATAGAAAATACTTTGAAGCAAGAAAATTAATAACATATCAGTCTGAGGTTAATGGATTTTATAAAAGCTATGCACCTGAAATTGGGCTTGCTATCTGTTTCTCTTGTAATCAACTTATATATATTGGAGAACGAACCAAAAATACAGGCAATTACAACCATATAGGAATGGAGAGACATTGGGCTTCTCGTTGTACTGGAAATTCCTTTTGTGGTGTAAGTTATGATGAATATTTACTGAAAATCGAACAAAAATCTATTTCGGGATATATTTATGATAATGAGTATGCATTACACCGTTATGAATTATGGATGTCCAATGCTATCAAGAAGGTTAAGCGTGCAAGAGAAATTGGTAGAAAAATTCGAGCATGTAGAATTATACAGAGAAAATGGTTAGAAATTTTCTTCAGACCCGAAGGTATGTGTGCTACTGAATTAGCATTACATTATCAGTTATTATGGGCGGTTCGAGAAGAAATGCGTCAAGTTAGCAATGTATAGACCGTGTCTGCGAAGCAATATACATATCTATTTATCTGGTTAATATATCTATTTATTATATAACTTATTCATATATTTAAAATAAAACCACCTAAAGTATTCCTAGAGGGCTAGTACTTTAGACTTTTATTCACTGCTATTTCGTGATGATTAATAGCTTTTCTTTCTAAAAAATCGAATTAGCGGTAGTTAAAGATAATTTACTATATTTTAATATTATGATTTACTATATTTTAGCAGAGCTAGTATGACTAATATAATGATTTAATATATTTTTAGCGTGATTCTAGCTCGACTCTAGCACAAGTATGATATTTTACATATAATTATATAGAAAAAATCTAGCGCGACTCTAGCTCGATTCAACCATATTTAAACTCCGGTTTTGGATTATTTTCATAATTTTCATAATTTTCATAATTTTCTTAAAGATTTTTCCATTTTTCTATACGTTGAATATAATTATACTAGCTACAACATGCCGGCAAAATTTAATCAAGCATATTCAGAATTAATCCGGAAACTACCTCCTTCACTAGAAAATGAAGCTTGGAAACGTCTTATCTCTAGAAAGCGAAATCCAATAACAGAAGAGGACGCTAGTACTGTTAACCCCTTAATAGAATCATTTTTGAATCACGAGGTTGATAGATACCAGAAAAGAATAAAATTCCAGCGACAAAGTTGGCCTTCATTTGAAAATTTATCAAACAATTATAAAAAAAGCATGGATAAAGAAACTCAAACTTTAGATATTATTCCGATTTGTAATCAGACACGTAAGTATCCTTGCTTCGCATGTGAAGAGGATATTAAAAATCAGGTCAATAAAAAAGTTGAAATTTTGTGTCGGCAAATACTTAAACACAATCAAGAGATATTTGGGAATTTTATGCAGAAATTGGATAAGGAATACGAAGAGCGGATCAATACAAATAAGAAATTACGCTTTGAAATCGAAGAAAAAAAGTTTCAATTACAGGAAATGGAAGATAAGTTATTTCAAGCTTAGCGGAGTTAATCCACTAAAAAATCTCAATCATAATTTATTTTCTTATATGCAATTAATGATTTGATTTCTTTTTCCAGATCTAAAGGATTCATCCAACCGATTCTAATGGACATAGGATCAGAAATCGGCACGGTTGTATCAAAGACAATGAATTCACCATTCCGCAAATAATTATTAATGACTCTGGAGGCTTTACGTGGATCTTCCTCTATGTATTGTCTTATAATTCGTGCAATATCTTCTATGGACCCCCCACCATTAAACAACGCAAGATGAGTTGCATTTTCACGAATAATTTTTGGTACTTGAGTGAATTTATGCGAAATATAAATTGTGGAAATATTACTATGACGCCCTCTATTAAAAAATGGAATAATTTGATCCTGGATTGACTGTGGTTCGGTGCATGAATCCTCGATTATAACCACTGTGCGTCTTTTTGGATTTTTAAACTGCTTCAGATCTGGAATTTTATCAGGCGTAAGTGCAGTAAAAGTAACATCTTCATAATATGGTTTTGAACGATCTGCTATTTTCTTATAGAAGTTTCGAATTAATCGGTATTTGGGTTCATTAATATAGTGCCCTACTAATACAATATCATTACATCTTATAGGACGTTCACCAATTTTCTTTTTTCCCTCTTTCATATCATAATACTTATCCCCGAGAAAGAGGTTTAACAGCATATTGGTCTTACCAGTGTTCGATCTCCCAGATACCACGATATAGAAAGGCCATTTTGGAGCATCTTCATCATCTAAAGATTTTTTCGGTGGTTTGATCTCATCGATATTATATACATAAAAATATTTCATTCTGACAGTAACTATATCTTTACGATTTTTTTTCTTTTTAATATACATAAGTAAAGACATGTCGAATCTTGCAGAGGCTCAAATTTATGCAGAAAAACGTGGAGGAAAAGTTCACATCCAAACCGGTCCTACAACTTTCTTATTTTCATGTCATAAGAATCATTTATGGGAAAGGCCACTCGAAGTTATTACGAAAAGATATGACTGGTGTCCTCTATGTCCGCATACGCCAGAAAGAACTTGTCGATATATTTTTGAGGATCTGTTGGGAAAAGAATTTCCATCTCGTCGGCCTAAATTCTTAAAAGGGCTACATCTAGATGGCTATAATGAGGAATTAAGTTTGGCTTTTGAATTCCAAGGCGTACAACATTTTGAGATAAATCCGTTATTCCATAAGCGAGGACGGACAGATCTTGATGAACAAAGGAAGCGCGATCAAAAAAAGCGGGATATATGCAAAAGAGAGGGTATATGTCTCATCTCAATACCATATTTCGCGGATATTGAAACTTTTATCCGAGATTCTCTAATCAAGAATGGATATCTCCAGAACTGTTCTAATTGATAATGGTTTTCTCTGGATTGGCCTTGTTTGATAATGATATTTTTGGATGAATTCGTCTGGCGGGTACTCTAAATTTTCTATATCTACGATTTGCAATTCTTCCATTTTGAATGGTCTACGAGGATTACGTCCCATTAAATGTTTTGTGGATTCAACTGGTTCCTTTTCAAGATAATATAAAACTGGCTGTGGCGGATTTTTCCCAACAACGACTTTTCTGATTTTATAAATACGTAATGACCAATATGGATCAGTCACTCTACGTCTATGACCACCCTCTAGCTCACCGGGTTTTAATAAGTATCGAACAGTAGTCCCTTTCGGTATTTGCTCTTCGTTTTCCCCAATGGGTCTTTTGTGTTTTATAGAAGGTTTAGATATTACTTTTTCCAACTTCATTGCATCAATTGGGGCCATACCGATAAGACGTGTTGGAGTACGATTCATATCATCAAAATTACTTCGAGAATTTTATTCCATAATGTCGAACGCTCCCCTACTGGTAATTTAGATTCTATAGCATATTGAATATCATATACTATTTTCGCCAAACTTCGTTTTAATCTTTTAACCAATGCTAGGCTTTCGAAACTATAAAGATCAACAACCCAAATAGGTACATTATGACGTTCCATTCCTCTTGCAAAGTGTCCGGAGAATTCTTTACCACCATCCAGCATCAATAATTCCGGCCATGTGTGAAGATTGTTAGGATCATTGTAAATTTCTTCGATAGCTTCCCAAACCTCTAAACTATTCTTCGATGTTAATGAGCGTCCACTTTTATAACGTGTAGCAACGTCTATAACCACTAATGTATAACGATATATTTTTTCACCATCCTGATCATCACAACCATGGGCTAATAGATCACACTGATGTACTTTGTTTGGTATAGATATCTTCTGGAATCCCGCTCCTGCTTTGCATTTTTGCGGAAAGAAAAATATTTGATTAACATACTGGTGCTTTAACCATTTTGCGATATCTTGCAGGGAAAAATGATCGTACCCTTCTCTCCAACAAGCTTTTTGTAACTGTTTTGTGGTTGTATAAAAACCAGGTACGTGATAGTAGATTAAACG